GTTTGTAAGATAGATCAGTAGCTTCACATGTAATTTGTCACTCTAAACAGAATCAGTTTCTTCACATTTCAGTAGAAATCAAGGTTACAAGATTTAACTCTAGACCTTTTCATATATCTTACAACATACCTTTTGACTTATATATGTGGAATACCAAAGCTCTTATGAGCTAAAACAACAGCTTAATTAACAAGGATGGATCTTACATCAGAACCTTCTCATACAGACAAACACATTTTGAAGATTGCAAGCCAGGACAAACCCAAACCATATAATGACACTTCTATCTAACTAAATATCTAATAAGAACCCTGATTTCCAAGATTAAGTTAAGGTTTTCCAGGAGATTTTGGATCATGAGCTGGATTTGGTCTTGTTCCAGGGTAGTCCACTATATCCCACAGCATTCTGCTCTCAGCAATCTCTTCCTTCATGCCATCCTCACTATAACTTAACCCCATAACTGGATCCACCTGCAGGTTCAAAAAAGTATCACTACTATAACACTATATCACATTCACAAAACAAAAAATTGATAATTAAGAGTTATCAGTTATTGTGCATATGTATGACAGAAAGAAAAAACAATCATATGATTTGGGTTATAATCTGTTTAATTGGATTTTCTCAGCTAAATGAGAATTTGGAATCTTGCTGCTGCTATGAACTTTTCCTTTTTATTTTTTCTTAAGATAAAAACATTTCAACTAGTTCAGACAAAAACGGTTTTTGTCATGCTGTTAGGGCACAAGAGACATGTCCCCTTTGAGGTTAATATATCTTGATTTTTTTGGATTTTTGGGATATATATGTGTCAGAAATGGCTGTCAATAGAAGGAGAGAAAGAGAAAAAGAAAAAGAAAGAGAAAGAGAGAGAGAGAGGACCTTAGCCAGATGATCTTGCACTAAAGGATTTTTTTTCCCAATAATAGTGCTTCCTGTATAATTCACAATTTAACATGATGAATCAGATTAATAGTCCAAATTTAATGCATTAAGACAACGAATAAAGATCTGCATCAAACCCTTGAAACTTACTTGTTGCTGGAACTGCAGCAGCAAATACAACACATGAAAGAATCAGAAGAATAACAAGAAGCCTAGAGAGGGGTTTTCTCCATGATATCAGTATAGATATCTATAGAAAGAGGGAATATGATGAGTAATTGAGAGAAAAGAGAAGAACAAGGCTTTGTGAGATGACCTAGGAGAAGGGCCAAGAAGGTCCTTATATGGAGGACCAAGGCTAGCACTCTTGAATAAAATATCAACCAAAGTTTGTAAGATAGATCAGTAGCTTCACATGTAATTTGTCACTCTAAACAGAATCAGTTTCTTCACATTTCAGTAGAAATCAAGGTTACAAGATTTAACTCTAGACCTTTTCATATATCTTACAACATACCTTTTGACTTATATATGTGGAATACCAAAGCTCTTATGAGCTAAAACAACAGCTTAATTAACAAGGATGGATCTTACATCAGAACCTTCTCATACAGACAAACACATTTTGAAGATTGCAAGCCAGGACAAACCCAAACCATATAATGACACTTCTATCTAACTAAATATCTAATAAGAACCCTGATTTCCAAGATTAAGTTAAGGTTTTCCAGGAGATTTTGGATCATGAGCTGGATTTGGTCTTGTTCCAGGGTAGTCCACTATATCCCACAGCATTCTGCTCTCAGCAATCTCTTCCTTCATGCCATCCTCACTATAACTTAACCCCATAACTGGATCCACCTGCAGGTTCAAAAAAGTATCACTACTATAACACTATATCACATTCACAAAACAAAAAATTGATAATTAAGAGTTATCAGTTATTGTGCATATGTATGACAGAAAGAAAAAACAATCATATGATTTGGGTTATAATCTGTTTAATTGGATTTTCTCAGCTAAATGAGAATTTGGAATCTTGCTGCTGCTATGAACTTTTCCTTTTTATTTTTTCTTAAGATAAAAACATTTCAACTAGTTCAGACAAAAACGGTTTTTGTCATGCTGTTAGGGCACAAGAGACATGTCCCCTTTGAGGTTAATATATCTTGATTTTTTTGGATTTTTGGGATATATATGTGTCAGAAATGGCTGTCAATAGAAGGAGAGAAAGAGAAAAAGAAAAAGAAAGAGAAAGAGAGAGAGAGAGGACCTTAGCCAGATGATCTTGCACTAAAGGATTTTTTTTCCCAATAATAGTGCTTCCTGTATAATTCACAATTTAACATGATGAATCAGATTAATAGTCCAAATTTAATGCATTAAGACAACGAATAAAGATCTGCATCAAACCCTTGAAACTTACTTGTTGCTGGAACTGCAGCAGCAAATACAACACATGAAAGAATCAGAAGAATAACAAGAAGCCTAGAGAGGGGTTTGTTCTCCATGATATCAGTATAGATATCTATAGAAAGAGGGGAATATGATGAGTAATTGAGAGAAAAGAGAAGAACAAGGCTTTGTGAGATGACCTAGGAGAAGGGCCAAGAAGGTCCTTATATGGAGGACCAAGGCTAGCACTCTTGAATAAAATATCAACCAAAGAATATAAATAACCCTTCCATTTGCATTTCAACAAAGATATGTGTACGAATACTTAAATACTTTTCTCCATTCCCTGGCTTTTGGCCACTCCAAAGAATAGCTTTAATTTCTATTGTTTTTATCAAGATAAACTAAACAGGTACTTAGCTGTTACCACCATGAAAAAAAAATCTTCATTTCTTTCCTCTTTTATTGAAAAATGAAGCATTTTTAGCAAAAGCAATGAAACATATATTAGGTTGTTGATTAACGTTTTATGATTATTTGAAATTTCTAAGAGTCCTGTCAGCCTTCATCAACTTTTATTCTTTACAAAATAATAATCCCAAACTTCATTTTCTTTTGTTATCCATATATAATTAGCATTAAGAATGATTAATGCATAACATTAATCATTCTGTTATCTATAATACACGTTCTGAAGCATAACACTCCACTTAAGAAGGTTACAAATGTTTTACTAACTACAAGTTCTTTTGCTTTGAACAATTATCAGCCAAAAGATCATTTCATATCGGACTATGTCAAAGAGTCATATTCAGTGGCACAACATTGAGTTAGCAAAAGTCAGCTATGCGCATGATACACACAAATGCTTTTCACCACCACGCATGTTTGTGAATGACACCCTAGTGTTTCTGCCATATTTACCACCTAACTGTTATTGGCAGAATAAGAGAACGTGCACATACCATTTTGAGCAAAAAATATCTATATTTTCAAACGTTATGATCCCGATAAATTAACTATATCCAAGTTCATTATTTTGAAGAACACCTACCTCAGAAGAAAAAACCCGTGAAACATAGGAAAGATTAATTAGGTAGCATCCCTCAAAGAGAATAAAAACCTGCATAATTGACTTCCCCACACTGCATAAACAATTTGGCCCAGACACCAAATCATCTTGTACTCGTTTCATTCCCACTTTGGCTAACTTTAACATGCTTATGATGGAAAAGTTTTGCACATATAGCGCATGGAGAGAAAAAAAAAAGACAATCGAAATTTGCTGGTTCTCATAAATGTTCCACGTCTACGTCAGATTCTGTCGTTACATAATAACAATAATAAATGAAGGGTTTTAGGAGAGTGTGATGGGGTTATTATAAGGTTCAATAATTGGCAATTGGCAATTGTCAGAGTGACACGAAGGGGTTACATGTAATAAACAAAGTGTCTTTAAGAAGTGCTGGTTCACCAAAAAAAAAGAATAGTGCTGTGTAGAATGCAAGAAGTGCAATCTATTATCCCAGGTGTGAAGTGTTCCTTTTTGAAAAGATGGATGAGTGCGTTGGTAGGTAGGTGTTAAGCACCCTTGTGGGTATCATCATCTTGGGAAAACAGCACAGACATGGATTGTTGGTCATGGAGGTATCATGCATCAGTATCTACCATGAATATATATGTATGTGAGTCATTCCCTTCTCGTTTCAAGAATCTCATTATGCTATGTATTTACCATTCTCCACTCAAAATATCTTTATGTTATTGGGCCTACCCTCGGACTTTCCAACTGCCCAATTTCTTTTCTCTACTAGTTGTGGCATAAAGTCTGTGTTTGATTTCATTTAATTTTTGAGTTTAATATGTTTTCATCCCTCTCTATAACATAAAATTCAAATTGATCTTTTTTTTCCAAAACTTTAATTTTGCTTTTTTTCTTAACTTCATAAATGATCAGATATTTTCGCTCTCTTTCAATGAAGTTGAATTTTTTCTTATGTATCAAACAGCAATCCACTATGGCACAGTCCATATGACGTTGAATTGTAAACATGGCACTTGATTGCTATCCATCTTGTTACATTTCTGTCTAGCTTTGAATCATCGTGTGAAATATGTATAGGTATGTTGGATTGGGTAAGAGTAGCTATGTTTAAACGTGTTGTCTGCTGTAATTTGGTGTAAAGGAAAAATATGTAGTAATCTAGTAATTTGGACTTTAAGTTAAACATGTTAGTGGATAAAATACGTGTATGTGTACTAATGATATACTTTGTGATTATGGGTGTCATTGGTGACGATGTGTGGTAGTTTTAAATCCTGAAAATACTATTTAGATGTGAACTATGGCTGAAATACGTATATGTTCAATAAATGAAGAGATTGATGGTTACATATATCATTATTTGCTTATTATTCTCTTATAAGGTTTGAATTATTGAAGGCTTAACTCACTCATATATTTCTCGGTTTGTTTGTAAGTATATGATAAAAGAAATGTGATAAAAACAAAAAATTGTTATTTAGAACACTTTTTAATTTGTTATATAAAAATTTATTTTTAATTTTTAGGACAAAAACATACGTTATTTTTTAAGTTCAAGAATTAATTGTATTTTTAACTTTACAATTTATTTTATACAATAATAATAATTATTACTTTTGGTTTTATATTATTCTGTTTTAACATTTAACATATTTTATGTTAATCACATTAATCAAATAATTTTGAATATTAAAAAAAAATTATTTCAAAATTGATTTTGAGTGGTATAAAATTAAATATGAGAAAACGAAACTTTTAAATCAATTTTGGTTGATAGAGAAGTTAGAATGGATGACTTTTCTCTGAACATGAATATGTCATCTTTAAATTGATATTGAAAAACAACCAAACAATGTATCATGATATATGCATCAAAATCGATTATGGGTGTCTCCAACGTGAAACCAAATAGATACTTAATAACGTTTACACGTCCAAATTAATGTTATTTGTGAATTTGATTTCAATGCCACTGATGAATTTGAGAATATTATGTGTGATTTATGATCCTAATATTGTGTTTGGATAGGACAATTTAAGAGAGTAGTTGATTTATTTGGAAAATTTGAAATTTTGAGGTAAAATGATCGGATGAGAAATTTAAAAGGAAATTGAAATTAAGAAATTTTAAAAAGGTATTTCAAATAATTAAAATAAGAAAATTTGAAATTCACTCAAAAAAAAAAAAGGAAAATGAAATTTCATAAGTTGTAGAATTCCTAATTGGTAAGATGAAAAAAATCAACGAGTCCAAAAGATAGATTCATATCAATCTTAGCTCAAGTTAAATCATCTCAACATCTAGTTCGAGTCGACTCAGGTTGACTATAAGCTAGGGACAACTTGACTCAACTTTCAACAAAAGTCAAGTCGTCTCTATTATGGTTAGAAAATGACTTATTTCGGCCTTTTGTCTAGTTAACTCGGTTTGACCTTTTGTCTAAGTTGACTTAGCTCAACCTTTGATTTGGATCGACTAAGTTGGACGTTCGTCTTGAATGACTTGCCTCTACTTTTGACTTAAACGTACTCGGTTTGACCTTTAGTTTGTACCTACTTGACTCGACCTTCTGCGAGTGCCAAATCATCTCAAACTTCAACCAGAGTTGACTCGTCTTGACTTAGCTTAACTTTCGGTCAATGTCAACTTGTTTCAACCTCTGACTCGGACTAACTGGTCTTGAAATTTGGTCTAGTCGACTCAGCTCAACTTTTTGTCCTAGCTAGCTCAATTCAACCTTTCAGCTCTAGTCAACTAGGCTTAACCTTTGACCAAACCGACATGGCTCAACTTTTAAGCCTAAGTGACTTGAGATGACTTTCGATCTGAACTTACTCAACTTGACCTTCAGTATGGACCTACTCGACTCAACCTTCGACTTTTGCCGACTCGTCTACAACTTCGATATGGTTAACTCGTCTTGAACATCAATACCTAACTAAAAAAATATGTAATATGTAAATTTTTAGTGACTAAACATTAGAAAAACTATTAGCATATATTTTGATTTAATTAAACTTATATTGGAACTATATATTATCCACACATCCCAAGTATACCTAGTAAATTTTACGGGATTATTTTTTCAACAAGAAAAATATATTGAGACACCTTCTCAAAATCCACACGCACATATTTAATATAATAATAGTAATATTAGTAGTGATAAGATAGATATGTTCATTAGGTTAGTATTTTTTATGTATGAAGGACATGAA